CGCCCGGCCTGGACCAGGAGTTCCTGCGCCGGCTGGTCCGGCTGCTGCGGATCCTGTTCCCGCAGCTGCTCTGCAGGGAGCTGGGCCTGCTGGGCGTCCACTCGCTGGCGCTGGTCTCCCGCACCTTCCTGTCCATCTACGTGGCCCGGCTGGACGGCAAGATCGTCAGGACCATCGTGCGCAAGGACCCGCGGGCCTTCGTGCTGCAGCTGACCAAGTGGCTGCTCATCGCCATCCCCGCCACCTTCGTCAACAGCGCCATCCGCTACCTGGAGGGCAGGCTGACGCTGGCCTTCCGCACGCGCCTGGTCAGCCACGCCTACCGCCTCTACTTCAGCCGCCAGACCTACTACCGGGTCAGCAACATGGACGGCCGGCTGGCCAACCCCGACCAGTCGCTGACCGAGGACGTGGTGGCCTTCGCCGCCTCGGTGGCCCACCTCTACTCCAACCTCACCAAGCCCATCCTGGACGTGGCGGTGACGGGCTACACGCTGCTGCGCACGGCCTGGTCCAAGGGCGCCAGCACCACCTGGCCGTCCGTCATCGCCGGCATCGTGGTGGCGCTCACGGCCAAGGTGCTGCGCGCCTTCTCGCCGCGCTTCGGCAAGCTGGTGGCCCAGGAGGCGCGGCGCAAGGGCGAGCTGCGCTACATGCACTCGCGCATCATCGCCAACTCGGAGGAGATCGCCTTCTACCGGGGGCACAAGGTCAGTGCGCGCGGACCACGCTCGGTCCAGCCGCCCGCCGGCAGAGAGGTGCGTGAAGATAAGTCGACGGGCCTGACCGAGCTGGCAAAGCGCGTCGGTAGAACCCGAGACGGATCGGGCCCGCTGCGCGTCGGGACTCCCGTTGTGTCGGGCCGGCCGGCGCCCGCGCTCGATCTCGCCCCGTCGGCAGGGCTGGTTTTAGAAGCTGTTTAATGTGCTTTGTCATTTCTGGCCCAGATACCAACCACTGGCACAAGCAGCCTGAGCTGAGCCAGCTGGCAGCGAGGGGGCGTGCAGACACTGATCCGGGGGGACACAGCAGAGATCCGTGCTTTTGGCTTAAAATGCGCTTTATCCTTAGACTGCTGCAGGTGGAAGTGTGAACGTGTGTCGTGTTGGAATAAACACTGGCGAGAGTAGGGGTCGTTTATTACCTGAAGGCCTTGGGCATTGTGCCACGTAAGTAAGTTTGCACTGGAGATATCTAAATAGGTCAACAGGCAAAGAGCTGCTGTCTCTTCCAACGTGAGGCCTGTCAGGCAGAGATCGGGAGCAGAGAAGAGGCTGGCCCTGGCTTGGCTGTGTGAATCCTGGTTTGTGTGAGAGAGTGGGGCGTGTGTGTGTGTCCTGAGGTGGGGAAGAGCTGTGTGACAGTGGGTCAGGGGTCAGAGGCTGAAGGTCAAGGAGACGCTCGGAGTCAGGAGAGCAGGATTGTAACAGTGTTTGGTTGGGGGGGGGAGGTCTTACATAAGGCCGGCGAGGAACAGACTGTCTTAACCTTGTACAGTGGGCAAAGGCTCAGCCCCCCTTGTACATCAGGTGATGATGTTACTCCCAGGAAGTCATGTTCTGCAGGGCTACCCTGTTGTGCCAGGTGGCGTCAAAGAACTGAGAAAATGCAGCACGTGTGCAGAGACTCCAGTTAACATGCTGCAGTGTTATTCTAAACTAAGCCTTTGTCCCCATTTCAGTCAATCCTGCCCTGTATCTCCGAGATTGTCACCCAAGCGGAGCTGCACGCTATCGCAAACGGGATTTCCTGCCACGCTCTGCTTATTGAGCTTTTTGGGAAACCAATCGAAAAGAGTCTGCCTGCGGGAATTCTTAAAATATCATCCTGGCTCTGATGGCCTGATGTAGCGCCCTGCGATCTCCTTGTGCTTCTCTCTCGTTAAGCGCGAGACCAGCCCTGCATCCACTAACACAGCTGCACTGCTGTGGCTGTGGTACTGCTGTGGCCGCCGCCATGACAGGTCAGGTCCTGCCCACCACCTGTTTCCCACGATGCCCTGCTGCTCCCGGTGGTTTCAGACGTCGCTTTTCGGGATTTATTCCTTAGAACCGAGAGCGCCGTCTGTGTGATGTTGGAGCCGATCTACGCGCACTCAAGAAAAGCAAAACACAGCCAACGTGCAGCACTGTGTGTATAATCTTTTATGTAAACAGGATGTCCTGTGACGTTCCTGGAGGGTAGGGTAGGACAGGAACTGCAGCCCAGTTAAGATAAGAGGGGGGCTTTTGTAGGAAGTTTTTTACTTGCATTTGGCCCTGTCAGCGGGACTAGCTTTCACCTGTTGTGAAACTATCTTGTGGTTTTCAGTGTGCAAAAAAAAAGGACAGGACGTTAATACTGTCTCAACCCAAAAGCTCAGGTCCCTCTGTCAGCACACTAAGCTATTTTGTGGAACGTCTGGTCCAGACTGGTCTGCCTCCTACTGGTCCACCAGCCTCCTACTGGTCCACCAACACCACTTACAGAAACGACCCGGTTTTCCTTGGAGACCTGCAATCTCAGTACTGGCCAGGTCCAGCCCTGTTGCCCTGCTGCAGTCAATCTAGATGGCGCTCTGGGACAGGAGACAGGAGAGCTGAGGCTGTGCATGTGCCCTGGCCTTGTCCTGGTCCTGGGAGAAGGACAGAGTCCTCACCATCAGTCACCTGCTTCCTCTGCATTTGAAACGTGACAGTTTACCAAAGCCACTTGCATTTGTACCCAAGAGTGAGTGCACAGCCTTGCTCAAGGCTGACGTGGTAGAGACCCACCCAGGATTCGAACCCCCAGCCTTCCAGAGACTACAGCCCTGACCACTGCTCCACACTGCACACTGCTCCACGTCATCTCAGCAGTTGAGACAAAACAAGAACAAGATGCAATCTGTGCAAAACAGAACTTTCAGCAATTTATCAACTGGGCAATCTTTCACTGAACGAGAAAATTCCCATTTGAAAACACTTTGTTTTCATAGTTAGAAGTGCTGTGGCCGTGCTTCCATGTGGTGTGAGGTGAAGACAGTGCTTGATATTGTGTAGCAGTAGTTGTAACGTGTGTGCGTGTCCCTGCAGGTGGAGATGGCTCAGCTACAGAGCTGCTACCGGGCCCTGGCCTCCCAGATCAACCTCATCCTGTTCAAGCGTCTGTGGTACATCATGCTGGAGCAGTTCCTCATGAAGTACCTGTGGAGCGCCTCAGGGCTCGTCATGGTGGCCGTGCCCATCATCACCGCCACTGGCTACTCCGAGCACGGTGAGTCTCTCTTCATCATCATCACCGCCACTGGCTACTCCGAGCACGGTGAGTCTCTCTTCATCATCATCACCGCCACTGGCTACTCCGAGCACAGTGAGTCTCTTCATCATCATCACTGCCACTGGCTACTCCGAGCACAGTGAGTCTCTCTTCATCATCATCATCACTGCCACTGGCTACTCCGAGCAGAGTGAGTCTCTTCATCATCATCATCATCACTGCCACTGGCTACTCGGAGTACAGTGAGTCTTCATCATCATCATCACTGCCACCGGCTACTCCGAGCACAGTGAGTCTCTTCATCATCATCATCATCATCACTGCTACTGGCTACTCGGAGTAGAGTGAGTCTCACTTCATCATCATCATCACCGCCACTGGCTACTCTGAGCACAGTGAGTCTCTTCATCATCATCATCACTGCCACTGGCTACTCCGAGCACAGTGAGTCTCTTCATCATCATCACTGCCACTGGCTA